TATTGTGTGTACTGTATATATTTAAATCAATTAATATATCTACATTTGTAATTTTCTTAATCTGTGACCTGTTGACCCAACGGGTTGGATTGGGTCAACTGTTTAAAAGTTCAAGTCAGGTTGGGTTGAACCACTGACCCGACCCAACCTGACTCATTTGGAGCTCTACAAACAATGCATCCTACTAAAGGGAAATCTAAAGAACAAAACTCAAGGATTCTTGATGTTTTCTCTCTTCTCAATCACAACAAAAGTGCCCTCTTTTTGACAAAATATATTTAAGAAAATGTATATCAAATAAAGAATGATTAATTATAACATTTATTTATATAAAAATATGAGAATTAATTGCCATATCATCCTGTAGACAAAAAGTGCAATACAATTTTTTGTGCAATCATTTTTATATGATGCAAAGGTGGTAGAAACCATCATCAAAAGTTGCAGCCAGTATCCTTAATGATGATAAAGAGTATAAAAAATCAAATTTATTAGTAGTAAGAGATATAAAGGATTAAATTTATTAGTAGTAAGTGATGATAAAGTATTAAATTTTACACTTAGTAAATGATGATAAAGAGTATAAAGAATCAAATTTATTACTAGTAAGAGATGATAAAGAATATAAAAAATTAAATTTATTATTAGTGAGAGATGATAAAAAATTATTTTGTAACAGGCAAGTAAAGAATTGTTCACTTTATTAAGTGACAGGAGAATAAAAGAATTCTTTTTTTTTAATAGATTATTAGAACAAAAGAACAAAAAAGCAGACAGAGAGGTTTATGTAGTTGAAATTATTATAAATAAGACATGAATCAAGAATTTTATTTCATTTCATTAAAACTTCTATCATCAATTAACCTTAATTTCTAACTGATATATTAGTTTAAAAACAATAAATACAATGAGGCAAATTACAATCTTAATCATTAAATTTTTTTGGTAATAATAATAATGACAGTAGTATTTTTATTAGTGTCATGTGTATACATGAAGTCGAAACTATTTCAACCATTTGCAGATCTGGTCAAAATAGGGTCGAAATAAGGTTGAAACTGATTTTTACTATGTAGTTACCTCAAGTCG